CCTGATAGCTCCCGCTCTCCGATCAGAAGCCCTGACCGCCAGCCAGCCCTTTCTTTGCTGTTCAGCACCCCGTCCTTGCCCTGCGCTTCTCCCTTCAGCCTGTCATTTGGAAACCCATCAAATGCCTTTGGTACGCCGAACACACTGCTCCTGCTGCACATCATGCGGGGGATCTCCACCGAGCTGCGGCACAGCGGCCGGCTCCCAAATCAGCTACCCCTCGAAGCTGAGGGTCTCCCCCAGTCCTGTCCCCTGCTCGCTCCTGCCAGCGGCCTCCCGTCCTTGCAGGAACCCGGTTATAGCTTCCAGGTTTGGGTGTTGGCTCTGGAGCTGGATTTTCCATCTTCCCAAATCCAAAGAGCTTTTAGTTGAAGTTTGTGCAAAAAATAGATTTGACTGTTTCCATCCCCAGGCCCTCCCCTGAGCTCCTGCACACGTCTGTTTCTCAGTGGATGCACTTCTGCTCCCGAGGCACAGGGGCCCCTTTGTTCAGGGATCAGAAGCCAAGGCAGAAGGGAAGGAAGAGCCCGCGAGCTCCAGGGACGCACCTTCCCCTGCCTGACACAGCGGTTATTTGAATTCTGGAATTGTCCCCTCGCACGCAGGAGGGCACCTGCACAGAGCCCACTCCCAGTGGGCTTTTCTTTGGTAGACAGATGTTACAGATGTTTCAGCTCAGAGCATGTGTGCGAATCGAACGACTTGTTCATTACTGCTTTTGAGTTTGAGTAAGAGCACTGATCTGCTGCAAAGGGGAGACATTAAATATGTGCTACTGGATGCCGAGAGGCCTCCGTAGGAAAAAAAAAAAACCAAAACAGGTGTCTGAAGCTCAAAAAATTTTTAAATAACCTGACAAAGAAAGGAATCTGCTTGCGAGCACTGCTCTTGTTGTTTGTCTGCATCCAGCTGTGATTGATACTACCCAGATGTCGTGTCTGCCAGCTAACTCCCCCTCCAGCAGCTCCTGCATCCAACACGGAACAGACTAGAGTTGCCCTTTGGTTCAGGCACCTTGGCTTCAAGCTGCAGACAAATCTCACTGCCCCTGTCCCACTGTCAGCTCCTTGTCATACAAATACACAGAGACCTCACTCCTGGTCTGAGTTTTCTAAGCGGCTTGCATACAATCCCTCATACCTGTTTCTCATGGCGAAGATCCCCCACGAGCTGTAGCTTCTAGGCAGGACGAATGCAGCAGACACACTGGCTCCCTCCCCATTTCTTTTCCCCTGCAGACTAGAAAGGTGTTCCATTGGATCTTGCTGATGGCAGCCAGGTGCACCAGGTTTTCCTCTGGCTGTGGATTCCCCAGGCACTACACACCTTACCTGGCTTCTTTAAGCATGCTTTATAACATATTCTCCTCCTTCAAATCAGTATCATTACTGTCTCCATTACGTTATCAGCTTCTCAAGTTCTACAATACAAGGCTGTAAGACTCCACTTTTCAGAGTAATTTAACATCCCTGACTCGCTGCCAATGTTTGTTCCACACTTTCCCTCTCTGCTTTGCTATTTAGATATTGCAGGACCGGCTGGCCATCCAGGCACCACTCACACAAACTTTAAAAGCAGGCAAACCGCATGCTTTATGGAGCTGGGGGGGGGCACAACAAGGGTCCCAGCAGCCACCCCACCCCACGAGCAGGGAGGCTGGGACACAGCCGGGCACGGGGAGCTGAG